ACATGAAGATGAAATTTCCAATTCCTTTCAAAACAATCATTGAATAGTGGTTCAAACAAGCTACAAGAATTATTGCTTTATTATAACAATAAAGTTCTAATTCTTTTCTGGTTTATGTTTACAAACTGTCCAGCTATGATGAGCCAAAACTGCTCAATAGACCATTTGCATGTTGACGTCATTTTACTACAACCAAAATCCTTCAGGGGATTGCTTTCTTGTGTAAATTAGACCCTTTGTTATATAAACCTCGCTGGGGCTACCAAATTTGAATATGAAAGGAAAAATGAAAAGGATTCTGGTCGTAGTAGTAAAATGACACCATTGTGCAAATGGCCTATTAAAATGCCATTTACAAATCAAGCACTGCGCAGCCTGTTCCACATGCAAAATATCAGCTGTGGAGGTTCAGGCAACTTTCTAGAGAGTTTTTGGGTTTTAAAGTGACACAGCAGTCTTGACTTTGACTTTTTGCCGTCTCTTCTCTCCTCTTCTTTCGCTTTTCTTGCCTCCTTTATTGCTGGGAAAAGTTTTTGGGAAAGCTTTTCTAGCATCTTAGGATTAAATGAAAGAAAAAGGTTAATGGGTAGTGAAACAAGATTTTCATGGAAATTTTTGGGTCAACATTACATGGCTTTTTTCTTTTTTTTTTCCGGCCTCCTTGACTGAATCGTGTTTGTTCTTGTATGGTTTGAAAGATATCTTTCCCCTTCACATGACGGATAATAAAGTTGGACCTGGATCCACACGCGCTGGGCAGATCAGGGCCAAAGAGTTAAATGTTTTCACAGCATACATAGACTTGCTTCAAGTTGACCTCCCATGAGTTCTTAAAAGCGAGCGAAGTGAGCTTCAATAAGAAAAAGAGAACAAAGCGAGCTTTTTTGCACTTTCTTCTGGCCTCAATTGACTGAATCACACTCATTCTGGTACAGTTTGAAAGATCTCTCCCTCCTGCACCCCGGCCCTGCACAAGCTAAAAGTTGGACCTGGATCCGCACGGGCAGTGCGCAGTTTGGAGGCAAATCGGTGAAATATGGCATAACCAACCAGGAAAAAAATAAGGGACGTTTAGAAAGTTTACATCGAAAATTATAGAAGCTCTGTCAAGACAAGCCACTGTACTTCCTGCTTGGGCTGCCTGCGATACTTGAAGAGGTTTAAAAACCGACAACAAGCGGACCGGCTATACCTAGGTCTTGAATTAAAAAAAGTGTTTTTAGAGCCTGAAATCTGACAAGATAACAACCAAGTAACGTGAATATAACCGTGAAACAACATGGCCGATATCTCTTACGTAACGTGTAAACAAATACTCACACTCAAAAGTTTATAAAAGCTAACAAAAAGAAAGCAAAACTTTTGACAGGGCATTTTTAACGCAAGAAAATATCGTTAATGAGAAGGGATTTAGTAAAATAAAAGGATTTACATATTACAATACCATACACCCGCTCCGACAGATTTTAAATATTAGCTTAGTTTAAAAATAGAGTAAAATGTCGACCGGATCGATTATCTTCAGCATAAATGAAGGACTGTCATACCTCTTTGTTCTTGTTGACAAGAAAATCGTAGGAGCACAGCCTGAAAATTGCCAAAGCTCGAACAATTTCCCAACTTGTTTTCGACCGGTANACCTAGGTCTTGAATTAAAAAAAGTGTTTTTAGAGCCTGAAATCTGACAAGATAACAACCAAGTAACGTGAATATAACCGTGAAACAACATGGCCGATATCTCTTACGTAACGTGTAAACAAATACTCACACTCAAAAGTTTATAAAAGCTAACAAAAAGAAAGCAAAACTTTTGACAGGGCATTTTTAACGCAAGAAAATATCGTTAATGAGAAGGGATTTAGTAAAATAAAAGGATTTACATATTACAATACCATACACCCGCTCCGACAGATTTTAAATATTAGCTTAGTTTAAAAATAGAGTAAAATGTCGACCGGATCGATTATCTTCAGCATAAATGAAGGACTGTCATACCTCTTTGTTCTTGTTGACAAGAAAATCGTAGGAGCACAGCCTGAAAATTGCCAAAGCTCGAACAATTTCCCAACTTGTTTTCGACCGGTAGGCACTCTCAGCATCGTCAAAGCTAAAACCCGAGTGCGTGGTTTGAGTGTGTGGCGATAAACCGGCGATCTCATCGTTGTTTGCCGCTTTGAACGGATCCGTCGCTGCAGTGACACCAGCGACGCTATCGTGACTACTGTTTCTTTGTACAAAAGATCGAATGGTATTATACGGTCCTCCATCGAAAAGAATTTTAGATCGAAGTGTCCTAGTGCACACAATTCGTCTCGCCATTTTTAAAACAGCGTTATATTTTAACTCATTTGCAAGTCGATCTACGTTTGTTGGCGCACATTTTTAGAACGTGCGCGTGCTAGAAACCAGTTTTTCAAGATTTGGAGATGGAAGCCAAGCCTTCTGCCAAGCCCGCGAAAAAATTTCTGATAAGATTCCCTTAGAAAAATGGTATTTTAACGAAACAAAAAACTCTGATCTTGTTTATGTGAAGCTGTTGTGCTGCACAAGGTTGTTGATAATTTCGAACAAAACTTTGACCGGCTATTTATGTCCGAAAATTGTTGATTATAATTTTAAAATTTAACTTGAAAACAATGACAGGTGCAGGTGCTTTTAAAAATAGAAAGATGATAAGCGAACAGAGGCATAGTTCAGTTTGACGATTTTTTTTTTCAGAATTCGCCACATAAACTTGTACTGAACTTGTACTGAAAACAAGTGCATATGACAGCAATGGTGGAGCATGGAAATATTCGGTTGGGGTGGGACATGGGAGGGGGAGGGGGAGGGGTGAATAGAGGAATGATGGCGAGTCATGATTATCCGTTATTTTTCCCCGAAAATTGAAGTTATTCCATTACTCCTCCCCAAAAATGGCATTATGCCGTTATTCCAACTCGAAATTTTTTGCTATTCTTTCTTAATTTTTCCTCTTCAGCTCTTTTATAACGCTTCTGAGTTCTCCCTCCCTCCCCTAGCTTCTCTCACTCATGCATAGAAACGTTACACGAGACGATTCGCAACAACTATTTTTAGCGCAACACAGCGTTGATTGTTGCAATTCGATTGGTTACAACTTTGTTCCACTGTGTTGCGCTTAAAATCGTCGTGCCTAATCGTCTCGTGTCTCTTGCACGCTTTAATTTCACGTGCTGAAATCACATTAGGCTTGTTACGTTGCTTCTGTGGGGGTGCGGTTCAGGCTTTTGTTCTTAGCATTCACCGTTTGGGACAAAAACTGTACTCAAACAGGAGGCGATTATTTGCAATACAATACAAAGCTCTTCAGAATATGGGTCGCAGTTCTTGTTTTCGCTTACTACTGGCATCGCATTTAATATTACAGACAGTTTTCTTTGTCCCTAGCCCCCCCGTCAGACGTCCTTTGGGGTTCGTTTGTCACGCATTCATTTCTCCCCCACGTCTGCGGGGAGGCTACTTTGTCCCATGTGGGCAACGGACACTTGTTTCTCGCCCAGTCGACAGATTCTAATAGACAGGCGGACTCTTCATTGTTAACTGTTTGCTGTAGTAAACTTTTCCTTTTCGAAGGTGAAAAAATTGTCTACGTACGACGAATTAAAAACCGAAAGTAGGACTCTACTTAATAAATCCTTCGTTTTCTGAAAAGTTACACTTTTTAGGGAGGATTGTAGAATATTTGGTGTTGAAAGTAAAGTCGTAAGGTTTTTATTCGTTCCAACTTTTCCAATAACAAATAATAGTTGTCTTATTTGTTTGCATGCAGGACGGGGATTTGTAATTTTATTTTTCTTGGACTACAATTACGAATCCTTTTTGCCAGCACCTCGAATGATCACAAGCATTAACGAAGGCTCTGCAGTATGGCGCCATCTGTGGCAATCTTGCATAACTTAGAAAATGGAAAACTTACATCAAAATACAAAAAAAGCGGAATCAACAGCGATAATTTTTATTGCTTTGAACATCATCGAGTTATTCGCTTCACAACCTTCACTCCACACCTTGAATAACTTACTGCCACATTTACAAATGTTTAACCTTGATATTAGCATATACCAGGGACCGCGCGACGGCGACGGCAACGAGAACTTCGAAAAAGCAATAGGTTTAGATCAGCGAAACAACAATTCTGCACTTGAAAACACGCTCTTTTGTACATTTCTTCGCCGTCACTGCACGACTATGACGTGAAAATACCTAATTTCATGTTGGAGGACGTAAACAAGGGACGACGACTTTTTCTTTCTCTGTTTAAGCTTGAGTTGGCTCTCCCCAAGAAATCAACTCAAGGAAATATTACATTTGACTTTTTCGGTGAAAAGGAATACAAAGGCGCCAAAGTTTGAAAAAACGCGAACTCATTTTAAAAGTGACGTTTTCGGTGCCGCCGCCGTCCTCGATGCTGTAGCCTGTGTACAGACGTCCCACCTCCGGCAGAAAAAACGATTTTCTCTGAGGGAGTGGAGAAAGTCTGTACACAGGCTACGATGCTAAAGCTCCGACGGAAACGAAAAGCTGACGACTTCTCGCCTCCCCCTCCCCTCCGCTCCGCCTCACCCCGGCCTTATCTCGTATGTCTTTTCCGTTTGTACTTGGTTTTAAAAATTTTATTTACAAAGTTTCCTGCTCTCAGGGAAACAAAAAACGATGTTGTGTCGTCCAAATTGATCTATTTTTAATAACGCTGGCATGCATGTGTTAAACCCTGAAAAGTATCCATAGGCACGCGCAGGAGCACAAGGGAATTAACTCCCATCCCGAACAACAAATAAGGTATAGTAGAATAGTTATTTTAAAAGAGTTAGACTATATTTCTTTTAAACACTTGAGACTGTATTACTTCGCGATGTAGTCTTTCATCAGAGCTTTGCGAAGTTCTCCGTCTGTGATCGACTTACGCTGACGATGCCATACGAGGGTGTATTCACAAGATAACTTTAGGAAGATACTAATTTTAAAAAATGCAAAGTACTTTAGTCCCATTGAAGCAAAGACTGCGAAAGTTTCGTGAGTAGCTTGTGGCCATCCGGATTGCACGACCCACTCGTCTCGTTCTCCGCTTCGAGTTTTTTCTGAAGTTGCTTCCTCAACTGCCGGCTATGATCGGTCGTTTCTTGTTGTAGTTTGTCAATCTCAGTTTGTAATTTCTGGTTATCATTCACGAGCTGAGAAATACTCTTTGTGATTTGAAGAAGTCCCGAGCAACGCAAAAGCGCTGCTGTATTGTTAAATCTTTCAACATCGTTGGTACCGACTTTACGGCTAGTATGTAGACGTTTCTTTCCTTTACGGCCGTGCTTGCGATAATTTCGTGATATATCACCGTTCAGTGCTGAACTTTTTCTCGTAAATCTTCCTCGTTTTACTTCAGAATCCTTGTCTGTCATTTCTTCCGAGGAAATTGATGTTTGATCGAAATTGTTTTTTAAAAGCCATTCACTGGTTT